AGAGCGGGGAGCAGAGCAGGCAGAAGGACCGAAGTACACTGCTGAGGGGAGCAGCGGGCGGCAGGAGAGGTCTGCGCGCCATGTGGGACTCTCGCCCGTGGCCGGGGAGCAGCCGGGGATCGAACCTGTGCCGCAGAGGCTGCGGGCAGCTTCTCAACCCAGCGCTCAACTGCTGCACCACCGGGGAGGCCCGATAAAAGGTACTGTTTTGAAGTTGGTTAGTCACAGAGTGCATGGTTAGGGGGTTAGAGAAAAGGGTTTCAACTCAAAGTTGTGCCTCTGTCTTTTGGGGAGTCTTGAAACAAAGTCCTCCGCTTTGGTTATCCATAAAATGAGATGTTTTGATCAACTATAATCTATAGGCATTTCTAAACATTTTGCTTTGTTGCTTAAGAAACTGCTTAAAAATTTATTTAGAAAACATCAAAATCTTTTTTATCACTCAAAGAATCAAAGGAAAAGGCTGCAAAAATAACACATCTCTTGAAGTAGTCAATGAAATAAGAAAATCAGACAAGGGAGACAACCGGTTTGCTGGAGACATTTTCAAGTTTCTATGAAATAACTACTTCAAAATCGCTAATACAAACTTTTAAGCATCTTTCTGAGTTTGGCACAGAGTATATGGGAAAAAAGAAAACAACAAATCAAAAACTGATCTGTTTGATCATTTCCTCCAAAGACTAAATACAAAAATCTACAGACTGCTGAGCCAGCAGGTCTGGTCCAAACCTCAGCTAAGTGACACCTTGAAGTCTCAGGATCCCTAACTGTGAAAAAAGCATCAAAATTCCCTCCTATATCTATGTTACCGAGCACTTGGAAATAAGAAATAAATGGAGGGGGGCCTCCCTGGTGGTGCAAAGGGTTAAGACACAACCTATGAAGCTTCCTGCAGCCACTGCAGCGCGAGTTTGATCCCCGGCCAAGGAGAAACCCACATGGCACAGCAGACCTCTCCTGTCGTGCCCGCTGCTCCCCTCAGCAGTGTATTTTGGTCGGTCTGCCTGTTCTGTTCCCCATTCTCTCTGGTGAATCCTCTTACCCACCCCAACACCTCCGGCCTGTACCCCAGCTCTTGTATGCATAAATATATAAATCTTTAAAAAAATAAATAAATGGAGGAACTACATGTAGCACTGTTTCACTGTAAAGAATTGCCTGCCAAGAAAGTAGTCCCACAATATGGAAACTGACAAGGGCATACAGATGTAGAATTTTAGTGTTTGAACTGCTTCTTAGTCACAGCTGAAGAACCACTGCAATCCAATGACAGAAGCTGCCTTAAAACAAACAAAACAAACCAAACCACCGCTACCAACAGAAAGGAAATTCTTTTTCACTAGTAAAGAACACAAAGACACCACAATAGCTCAAAGAGGATTCAAAACTTGGCTGTCCCGAATCATCCTCACTTCTTCCTCCCTCTTTTCTTAGAATCCAATTTGGCATCCAGTCCTGTGGGATGTGCTTTGAAAAGTTTCCCAGATTGGATGCTTCTCTATTTCCATTGTCCCTATTTCAGGCTGCACTCTGCTTACAGCACACCCTCAAGGCAGCAAGACCTGGTGCCTGAGGTCACTGCCACTGGCAACTCTTCTTCCAGGCCAGGCTCAGTGATGCCTCATTAACCTTCCTAAAAAGCAGCTGAGTCTCTCAGTCTCACACTATTTACCTCTATTCCCCAAACATGCCCCTGCTGGTCTAGCTCAGGAATTCCTTCACTTGCAGGCATACTGCAGCCCCCAGGCCTTTCTCTTGCTGTTCTCCATGTCTGGAATGCTCTTCCACCAGCCAATATTGACACAGTCATTTTCCCAAGCCCCCTTTAGAGGAGGGGTCTAAGGTTCCCGGCCTTAGGAAACACCTGGGTATCTTGTTAACATTCAGATTCTGATTCAAAAGCTCTGATGTGGAGTCAAGACTCTTATTCTTTGAAGTCTCATTGCACTATAACAACTTACACATATTGGGTGTGCATCATTAAAATAGTAACATGGACTCTGCATTTCGAACCAGTCCCTTCCCAGGTGGCCACCATGGTGTTGGTCCATGGCTCCTACTTTGAGTCACAAAGCTTACTGACTTGGTGGGGAAAAAATACTGGGGTTAGTTTTGGGGTTTGAATGCCATCTGTTTCAGATTTTAGCTGTGTTACTTTAGGAAAATAACTTCATTTAATAGTGGGAAGATTACTTATTTTATATAAATGATACGAGGATCTTTTGAGATATTAATAAAGTAGTCTTTTCAAAACTGTCTTTCCTTGGTTCCCATAAGCACCTCATCTTGTCCCCTACTATGCTCACTTCTCTTTATTCTAAATCTTATTGTTTATTTATTTTTTAAAATATTTATTTATTTATTTATACAAGCACTGGGTACAGTCAGAAGAACAGGAGGGTGAGAGAATTCACCAGAGCCAGAGCGGGGAGTAGAACAGGCAGACTGATGAAGTACACTGCTTAGGGGAGCAGCGGGCGGCAGGAGAGGTCTGCATGCCATGTGGGACCCTCGCCTGTGGCGGGGATTGAACCAGTGCTGCAGAGGCTGCGGGCAGCTTCGCAGCCCAGCGCTCAACTGCTGCGCCACCGGGGAGGCCCCTGAACCTTATTGTTTAAATGGCTTGTCTACATACATATAAATTAGAACAAGGTCTTGAGGGCACACTCAAATCTGCCTATCTTTCCACACATAAATCAAGAAAAAGTGATCTTCAGGTCAAATTTTGTTCATATAAAACTTTGAGCTGATAGAAATTTAGTAACACCATCCTTCCCTCAGCACCAGGCAGGGAGGCAGAGCTGCACTGAGGTTACAAACACAGGCACGGAGTCAGCGATACCCTAGTTGTGGGTCCTTCTCACCGGTTGCATGTCCTCACTAAGAATACTGTGGCTGTGTTGCAATTTCTTCATCTCCAAAATAGGAATTCTGCCTTAACTGCCAGCACTGCTGTGAGAATTAAGTAAGGTTCTAAATCATGTCAAGTGCTCAACCAATGTGGTAGATTGCAAGATTGGTCACGATTCTCCGCCCTCCCTGAAGCCACACCATTCGTTAATGGGGCTGCACAACTCCTCCCATCAAAGGTGGGGCTGACTTCTCTACTTTTCAAATGTGGGTTACCCCTGCCTCTTGCTTTTTGAAATAAATTAGAGGTGAAGCAATATGTGTCCATTTCAGCCTAGGCCTCAAGCGACCTTGCTTCTAGCTCCCTCCTGCAACCACTCTGAGCCCAGGTGAGCCTGCCCAAGTCTCAGCTGAGTCAGCCCATGGTTAGCGCGGGCTCAAAGGCAGAGTCACCTTGGTGACTACAGATGCATAAGGCAGGAGATTTGCCCAAACTGCTGATCCATAGAGTCATAAACTCAGTAAATAGTGGTTGTTTTAAGCCAGTATGTTTTAGGGTGGTTTGTTAAACAACAATAGGTAGCATATATAAGAAATTTCTCCATAAATAAGTGTTATTATAATGTTTTTTGGAAAAGGATCTTGACAGGGAATAAATTCTCCATACTCCTGAAATGTATACCTTTGGTCAGGAGCAGGATGATAACTGTAGTAGGAATTGGGGTTCTTAGATTCTGGTCCCAGTAGCTTTTTCAGTGAGCAATCATGTGACCTGGGACATCATTTAACCTCTTTGAGGCTTAGTTTCCTCATCTGTAAATTAAGTAAGTTAGATCAATTTATTTTTAAGGTTCTTTGCTAGCTCTAAACAGCACTAAGAATCATTTTTCCAAAATGCAATATATTAACAATAGCCCTTTTCTCCATACTTACCTGTCTACCGAGGTCTAAAAATATTCATACAAGAAGATATTTTGAGGGGAGAAAGCACATTCACATAACTTTTGTTGTTTTAGTTTTTTTTCCTTTTTTGTATAAATGGGTTTTCTTAAAATTGAAAATTTTTTTAAATTAAAAAAACACATTTATTCTGCATCATGATCAGGCTATTAATTACAATCAACATCCTGGGTGCAAAAAACCAAAACTGGCATTAAAATCCTTTGTTGAATAGATTACACTTTCCAAAGAACAGAAACTAAAATAACCTGTTGTGCAGTTATTCACAAGTCCAGTCCTTGAGTGTTTTCCCCATACACATAAGTATTGTCTAAAACGTTTTCTTTTTGGCAGCTAAGCCAGTCCACCATTTCATGTAACTTTCATTATAACACATTATCCTAACTCTTGTATTTTTTACTGTTGTTCATCTCTTACTGTGCCTAATTTATATATTAATCTTTAACTTAAGTATGTATGCATATGAAGAAACACAGTATATACAGAGATTGGAATTATGGTGGTTCCAGGCATCCACAGAGGGGCTTGAAAGTATCCTTTGTATGTGTGTTTGGGGGAGGAAGGGTTCTTTTCCCTGCAAATGGATTTTATTCTTGTACACTTAGAATTTAATCACAGCCAGCCTTCACTGGCTTAGTAGCTGGTTATGATATTTCACAATTATCTTAATAGCCATACACTGAACCTATAAGGTATGCCTCTTGCCTGGGGACCAGGAGCTCAGATTGCCAAACTTATTAGGAATCAAAAGTAATTAAGGCCCTGTGAGTTCTAGTGAGAATCTAAGTAGATGTGATCCTTAACAACTATTTGCAGGTACAGTCAGTTCTAGACAGCAATATACATTCTGGAGGATCAAGGTTTGGGCTGTGGGAACACCAAGTAAGAGAGATACTATTTTACAGCCATAAAGTATGAATCAAATCTTTGCATTTACCACACAGAAAAGACCCAAGATATGTTCTTAATTATTAAATGGGAGGAGGAGGGATGGCAGAGAGATTTAACACCAAAAACAAAATAAAATAAATTCCAATTTCTTTTTCTTTCTCATGTGTGTAGAGATTGACTCTGAGACTAACAAATGGATTGCAAATATATCTAGACACATGTAGTAAAAAGCTATCCATGTGGCAGTGAGTCAAAAACTAAGCTGACTTTCCTTTTTTCCCAAGTCTCTCTCTTACCTGTACTCTAACACTGTAAATTTAACACAGTCTTGTCTGTGACAGGCAGGCCATGTTGTGGTCAACTTGAAAAAAAACAAAAACAAAAACAAACCTGTTTTCAGTCCACTTCTACTAGCTACACAATCAAAAATTAGGACTTTTTATCGCTAAAAGAAGTTGAGCGAAATCAGTAAATACATATATATATCTATATCTCAATCATATGAGGGTCACAATTTATCTTCACCTTCAGATGGATGTATTTAAATCTACCTAAAGAAGCTCTTAGTTGTGGAGAATGTGAAATATATTTGGTTCATTCTCTTGACCAAAAACTTTTTGTTTGATGGGGAGAAATTATATGGGGCTCTAGGATAACTTCACTCAGCAGGGAAAACATTGCAAGGAAATAGTTTATGGTTTTCTCCCTGGAACCAAGGTATATTTGAAATGACATGTAAATCAATTTCAGAAACTTGAGTCACCTAATATTTTTCTTTCAGCTCATATCCTAAATACTTTTATCTTTCTTCATGTCTTTGGGAATCAATTCCCTTTTCTCTTCTCGACTGTATGGATTTTTACATCATTGTCCTGCTTATGTCTTCCCCATTTCATTTCCTCATGGCAGCAGGTGCAAACTTCGTAAAATACAGTTCTGCTCTGTTTGAAATCCTCCAGTGGCTTCCCTGAAGACTGTTAGTTCCCTACCTGCTAAGACTGTATCCCAGCACCCCATAGAATGTCTGGCAGTTCTTCACACATGTCTCTAAGGCCAGGTCAGAATTTCATTTGGTTTTGGGAGGCACTTGAACACTGAAGGGAGTTCACTGACTATGGTAAAATTTGAGACATATTTTTGTCTTAGGTTTTTATATTTACTGCAGCCCAAGCTCATTTTTTCTAAGCTGCTTGACAACAGTGAGGCAGTATTTTGAGTTCTTTTAATTATCTGCTTCATGACATATATTATCTGAGTGGTGTGTTTTAAGTATGTTTTAGGGTAGTATCATTTTCATGATAATCTACATTCGTCCTTCTAAAGATCTCAACCACTGTGGAACTATGATATTCTCAAGTGTGAAAAGTTCAAGAAGACGGATTTCAGTTTCACTGTGTTCTGTCAAATAACATTTCAAGTGGTGACCAGATTAAGAAACACTTTTACTGCACCTGGTGATCTGTTTGGCTGATGTCTCCAGATGTGCCCTTCCCTAGAGGAGCCTATTGAGTCCTCTTTTCTAGGTAAGTAGAAAGTCTATTTGCAACCAGATAATCAATCTGATGACAAAATGGGGAAAACAAACAAAAGACTGGCAGGAGCTAGGTACTATTTAACCAAGACCCCAGGAGTTCAGGATTCAGGCTCATTGGAAAAATTGTGGACCTAGGGGAATCTGAACTAATGCAAGTGGAGGACCCCAGCTACTGTAATTGTTGATCAATTACAGTCCATTCCAAGAAGGAAGGTCAATGGAGTTGGGGGCACCACGTCAAGGCAGTTCCAGGAACATGAGGGCAGCCCCTGCTCTGCTCCAGGGCTGGTGATCCACCCAGGTGGTACTTCCAGGCTCAGCTGAGCCATCAGGGGAATCATTCCAATTTTAGGATAAGGGAACACATTTAGTTGCTATCAAGTGTTTTTTTTTTTTTTTTTTTTTGCCTTAAATTCCAGACACGCAAAAGCTATTAGAACATAAGGTTGGTCACATTAATCTTTAGATGACATCAGACAGATATTTAAATCTTTAAAACAGTTAAGGCCAGTTCCTGGGGCTAGGTGCCTGAGGTAAGCACTTAATCACCTATTTGATAAAATGAAAAGACCTGGAGCAGGATGGACAGACATCAGGCAAAAAAGAGAATAGGTCACACCCTGTCTTCCCTTAAATGAAACACTGATATCTAATTGCTGTTTTTTGCTTCTGCTATCCAGGCAGCTTCCTATAGCTGACACTTCATACAAATAATCCCAGAACTCAGCTCAGAAGATGAGCTCTGTGACTGGGATTAGGTGGTTAAGGTATTCTAACGGCTCAGGTGCTTAACCTCTAGCAGCCTTACCATCTGTCTCCTCAAAGTAGCATTAACTGAAAGATTCATTATGGGAACAATGACTAATAGAGAATCCATCGCCTTTAAAAGCAGTAACCACTTCACACTTCTTTCAACTCTCAAATACTTCTCATTTTTGACTCCTTACAGTAGCTTGGTTACAAGATGCCAGGACAGGATATGGGTGAGCCATGTGAGTCGTGCCATAGTAATTTGCATAGTGACAAGAAGAAAATAAATAAACATCCTATTCTTTAATTATTTGAACCACCTCATGGAACACTGACTTCTTCCAAATTCACTGGGCAAACATCACTACCACAATGGAAAAGAGAATGTACTAAGTTACTAAAGGGAGTTTTAGGATTTTTTTTTTTTTGAAGTTAATGATAGTGGGGGGTGGGTGGGAGATTGATTTCTTCTTAAATCATTCGAAAAATTCTTCAAGGGTGGTTTGTGGAAAGCTCACCTCATCGGGCTGCCAAGGTCAACGAGACTCGAGCTATCGACCTGGGAGATGCTTGTCTCATTATTAAATAAGCAGCAGCTCAGACCATTTGCACTTGGCACCCTCTTTCAACAAGTGCTATTTCCTAGCGGCACCCTCTTCTTCCACCCCTACCCACCGCCACCCAGAGCGCCGGCATCCCCAGGGGAGGCAACTCCTCGGACCCAAAGGGCATTTCAAAGAAACGCTTGGGTCACATTCCATTTCCATTTTATTCAAACGCACTCAGATGCTTAATCATGGTGGGGGTGGGGGGAAGGGAGGAACTTCAAAATAAGAAAAAACCTCCCTCGGGTTTTCCAATTCAAGTTCTTAGGCACAGCAGAAAGTTCATTAATTAAGGATTTAAAACCAAAAGTGTTTCATACACCAACGAGATGCCAAGTTTTATAAACTGTGCAGGTCTTTACTTTGGGGAATTTGCAAAAGTCCCCCCGCCCTTGCTTGGGTTTTGCCTCTTCCCGTGCCTTTGTGCACGGACGTGACTGTCCCGCAGACATCCAGCGAAGGCGGGCCCCCCGCACCCCGTGATTTCTTCTCTTGAAGGTAAAAGCAGATCAAGAAAGAAATAAAAAGGACCCGCCAGGAGAAGTCGGGGAGACACTGTCCCAGAACCGGGGTGCGCAGGGGTCACGCCTTGGCCTCCCGCAGGCGACAGGTGCGTCCTACCTGGGCTGGCGCAGCAGCGGCGTCGGAGGCGCAGGGGTCGCGGCGTCCATGGCTTCGCCGGCCGGGGACAGCCGCGCGGGGAGACGCCGGGGCTCAGCGCCGCCCGGAGCCCGCCGCCCTGGCCGCGGCCGCCCCGGCGCTGTCATTGGGCCCGCGCGTCACGTGGCCCGGCCGGCCGGCGAGCCTCCTCGGCACGCGTAACCCTTTACCTGCGCGCCCCCGGCGCCCTGCAGCCGGGGTGCGGCCCCCCGCCTCCTCTCCCCGCGCGGCTGGACGTCCCAGGCTCGCGCCAGCCGAGAAGCTGGGGCTCGGCCTCTGGGCACCCGCGCCCGGGTTGCACCCCGAGCGCCTGTGCGCGCTGGAAACTTTGGCGCCGGCTTCCTTGGCGCGCAGTGGGAGAGGCGAGGTTCCCGTGACTTGGAGCTTAAGCGGGGAGAGCTATAAATGCACCCCCTGGACACTAGATGTGGGCCCCGCAGCCCCGGTTGTTGGCCGTTTTCTGTTTCCTGGGCAGTTCTGGCCCCGGTCACTGAGCCACTGCGCGCACGCTCTGCCCTTCTGGGCCAGACTGAGGAGCAGCGCCGCGCCGCCGCGATGCCAGCTCCCGGCCACTGCGCGCACCCGCCTGCACCCCTGAGGCCTCTGGCGTTCAGCAGAATCTTGCTGCCCTTCCTCTCTCATCCCCGGGTCTCTTAGGACCTCGGGAGAACATTCGGCTGCGACCCTCGAATCAACCTACTGAGCCACGCCAGTAGGTGCTGCAACCCTCGCACCCAAGATGGGTGGGGATGGTTGCTCCCCCCCCCGCGCCCCGCCCCTCAAATGCTACTTAAATATTGGAAATTCTTTTCACCTGCGCTCCAAAGTCAATGCAAGGCTTGAAAGGAAAATGTCTTGAGCAAGCGCGCCACCTAGCTTTCCTCTTGTCCTCGCGGCGCATCCGCCAGAGTCGGGAAAAACTGGGTGCTGGCTTGGTTTTCCACGGGCCAGTTTTAGTGAGTCGAGCGCCATTTACACGAACTGTGCCATGCTTAATGGAGGGGGACTCAATTTTTTTTTTAAATAATAAATTTTATTTTTATATTCCCCATACAATTGCAACCCCCCCATTCTGACCCCAATCCCTCCCCTCCCGCCCCTCACCCCCCAAAAAGTGTCTCTGGTTCACAGTTTTTTGTTGATTTTGATTTTCGCTTTCTTATAGTTATTCATTTTTCTGGTCCCTTATTTAAGTTTTCTAGATCCCTGCTATGAGTGAGACCATCCGGTATTTTTCTTTTTCTTTTTGGCTTATTTCGCTGAGCATGATCCCTTCCAGCGCCATCCATGTTGCTGCAAATTGCATGTGTTTATCTTTTTGGAATGCTGAGTAATATTCCATGGTATATATGTACCAGTCCCCCTTGATGTGTAGTAGCTGCAGTATGTTAAAATGTTGTTTTTTTGTTCCTTTGCATTTGTAATTTTATTTTGATAGATACATGTATAAGTCACGTGGTACATCTGCTGTGCAAGTGAAGGAGGGTTGTTAATTCAACTTTTGGAATGGTTAATTATTGATTTTTATTGAAGTAACATTGCATTATAGTATGTAAGGTTCAGGTGTGCATCATTAAAAATCAACACATGTATTCTGCAATAAATTCACTGTAAGTCCAATTCAACACTTCAGCATAAAATTGACCCATTTTACCAGATTTACTCTCTGCCCATTCTCTGCCCACTCCCCTTCTGGTAACCATTAATAGGTCTGATAGTTTAAATGTTTTGTTTTCTTTAGTTCATCCATTTGTTTATTCTATATACCACATATGAATGAACTCATTTGGTGTTTGAGTTATATGTGGTTTTCATCACTTTCTGATAAAAACCTTTGTTACAATAAAGGATGCTTGTGTCCAACTCTTAGCTGATAGTTACGCAATGTCCACAGCATACTGGTACACTTACCAGTTAGGTTATTCTGACCAAAAAGACTGACATTTTGGGGGTGGGGGTTAAAGCGTGCTTCCTATACTAGTGAAATTGGCAACAACTGGGGGAATTTAGCGAAAGTACAAAATACAATTGTTGGACCCCACCCTAGACATATGGGTTCAGAACTTGTGGCGGCCAGGGAGGGGGACGAAGTTATATTTTTAACAAGTGATACACACCCTGTTTGAGAACCATTGCCCTCTGCTCCAGCAGCTGACTAAGTCACCAGCTCCTATTGAAGGCTGGGATTCCAGAAAGCCTGAGGAGGTGGTGCTATTGTAACCACCAATTTTGTTTATATAATTTGTCATGTTGATACATGAAACTGCACCTTCTGATGTGCCTATGCAAGGTGTAATCTATGTACTTCATGCAGATCGCCTGTAATGCCAAATGGAGCTATGAGGGAGCCCTTGGAAAAGATCTGGAAGGAAAACCTAGAAAGGAAACACTATGATTTACTTAGTTTTTGTCGGATTGTTTTTGGTGTGGTTCTGTTTTCTTTGGCATGTAAATTGTTCCTAACTTGATAATTCATGGAAGATAGGAGAGCTAATATGGCTGAGTGCATTTGTCAATAAAGTTCTAAAAGAAAGAAAATTAACTTTATGGTATTGGTTTACATTATAAATGAAAAAGTACCGGGCCTCCCCGGTGGCACAGTGGTTGAGCGCTGGGCTGTGAAGCTGCCCACAGCCTCTGCAGCACGGGTTCGATTCCCGGCCACCGGCGAGGGTCCCACATGGCGCACAGATCTCTCCTGCCACACTTGCTGCTTCCCTAAGCAGTGACTTCATCAGTCTGCCTGTTCTGCTCCCCGCTCTGGCTCTGGTGAATTCTCTCACCCTCCCATGCTTTTGACTGTATCCAGTGCTTGTATAAATAAATAAATAAATCTTAAAAAAAAAAAAATAAATGAAAAAGTACCATATTAGGCGTTTCAGCTACATATAGACTTCATGCATATAGAGTTACATATAGACTTCTCTAGGCTATATAGAAGTCTATATTCTGAAAAAGAGATAACTGGCTAGATTTTTTATCTTTAGTTTCGATTTCTCCATTGGATGCATTTTTCCAATAGTCTCCATGGATGTCTTAACTTTAAACTCTCCATGTCCAAATTTATTTTATTATCTCCTCTACTTTCATCTCCTAACCTAATCATTTCACATTTGTAACACTGCTATCTGCATCACCTACCTCTTAGTTAAGCCCTCCTCTTAGCTTTTTCACATCCATTGTTCTAAATCAAATTCTTCTTTCCATCTCAGGCTATTTATTGCATAGTCTCTACTGAGCTCCCAAATTCTGGTCTCTTCCAATTCGAATCCGTCTGACACTTGTACCACCTAAGTTATTCTAAAATACTATTCCAACCAGAGACAATTCCCATTCTCAAAAATTCTTTATTTCTCATTCATTACACAATAAAATCTAAAATGCCAAAATAGCATCTGAAGTCTTCGAAAATGTATTTCAGCTCTCCCTGTTTTTGCATAGATTCCTTCACCCAAAATCACTTTCTGATTTTCTAGCAATTGCATCCTAATATATCTTTCAAGCTTCACCTGTCACCTCCTCTTGGCCATCCTTTTTGATTCCCAAAGTTCATTGCTCCTCTGAGTGTATCACCAGCACTTGGTTTTCACTCCTATAACAGCCTCTTATCACAGTCTGTATTATGTCTAATTCAGTTATGCTTCCTTTAAATTGTTAGGATTCTGGAGGGCAGGAGCTGTGCCTGGCCGATTACCAAGTCATCGAGTGTAACGCATAATGCCTTGAACTTAGCAGGCATGCAGTATCAGTTGCGTTCTTGGCTGTAGGACAGAAGATAGTTAAAAAACAAACTGTATTTGTGAAATGCTTTTATGCAAATATGATAATCAGCTCCTTTACATTTTATCCAAGAACCAAAAGACAAGAGAATTTAACCTAAAGGATTTATTTTTTTTTTAACCTAAAGGATTTAGATTGGACTCCTCAGCATGGGTGATGGTTTGCAATGGGGGTAACTTTATACAGAAGTCAGTCTCAGTCACAGCAAGATGAAGGCAATAAACCCTCTAGATATTTTTTTCTTAACACCTTATTTTAAGTTTCTCTGAGAATGATGGTTTCAAGAGATACTAAAACCAGGGCCTCCCCGGTGGCGCAGCGGTTGAGCACTGGGTTGCGAAGCTGCCCGCGGCCTCTGCGGTGCTGGTTCGATCCCCGGCTGCTCCCCGGCCACCAGAGGAGGGTCCCACATGGCGCGCAGACCTCTCCTGCTGCCCGCTGCTGCCCTCAGCAGTGTACTTCGGTCCTTCTGCCTGCTCTGCTCCCCGCTCTGGCTCTGGTGAATTCTCTCACCCTCCCGTGCTTCTGACTGTACCCAGTGCATGTATAAACAAACAAATAAATGAATAAAATACATGCCTCTAAAAAAAAAAAAAAAAAAAAAAAAAAAAAAAAAAGAGATACTAAAACCAGATACAATGTTTTACCTGATTACTTCTTAGTTAAGCTCTCCATTGCTGTCTTGTTTATTTTTTTTTAATTTTTATTTTGATGTGTGCAGGGAGTCTTAGATTCAAGAGACAAGAAATGGTGGGAAAATGTACATGAAGAGGTTCCTTGGTTCTGCACTCTCACCTGGAGGGAATTTATGAGGACAATGCCTTGGTTAGCACTCCCCAACACCCACCCATCCCAGAGTACTATCCTTGTACTTATACATAGAATTGTTTCCCATCTGTTTTGCTGTTATGATGATAAAAGCCTAGAAGGTACAAGCTGTTTTATTTACCTATGTGTTGCTAGCAAAATATGTATTTGCTGGATGGATACGTCAACTGTTTCCTTATACCAGTGACTTTGAGTCTAGCCTGGTCTCTATTCTGCAAGTTAGACTGTATCTCATAAGTCATTATTGGTAAGTGCCTGTGGGATAATCAACACTGTAATTTTTATGTGCTTTGAGAAAGAAGAAAAAGATATTGATGGTGCATGCAATCCTACTCAGCTGTTCCTGGACCTTTGCTTCTAGCTTTCCTCATCTGTAAGTCTGAATAGTACCTAGCTCATAACATGTGGTGAGGATTCCATAAAGGTTGGAAAAGGGTGCCTCCTGGTGTACAGTAAGCACTCAGCAGCATCAAGAATTATTACAGGGCCTCCCTGGTGGCGGAGGCGGTTGAGCTCTGCGTTGTGAAGCTGTCTGCAGCCTCTGCAGCGAGGGTTCGATCCCAGCCGGCTGCCGGGGAGAATCCCACATGGCCAGGCAGACCTCTCCTGTCTCGCCCGCTGCTCCCCTCAGCAGTGTACTTAGGTCACTCTGCCTGTTCTGTTCCCCACTCTGTTTCTGGTGAAGCCTCTCACCCTCCCATGCATCTGGCCTGTACCCCAGTTCTTGTATAAAAATAAATAAATCTTTAAAAAAAAAGAATTATTACACCATCTGTCACAGTTCGGGAGGTGGGGGTGGTGGAAAGCAAACATCACACAAATCTAAGTAGTTTATCTTTTATTCATACAAACAATACATCCACAAGACTGTACATTGCTTTAAGACTGCATAATTGTCTAGTGTAACAACTCTGTAACAAAATTTAACTAAATGTAACATTTATGAAAATATAAATCTCTGATTGGGTAATTCTTCCCAACAATACAAAGTTTACATAAAAACATTCAATATGAGCTATCAGTTGCAAACAATTTAGGAAAAAAATCATTCAAGTCACTTGTTAAATTCTATTGGCTTTTACATAGAACATTCACACACTACATTTAATTCATCTAGGCATTTAATTCTTAGAAATGTGTGGCATGGAGATTCCACTGATAATGACAGGAATAAGAATGGGTTGCCTCTGAAGAGTTGACAAAGCATTGACTTGTACGATCAACTTTAGCTGATCTGTAGTGGCCTGGGCCAGGAGGAAGTTAGTGGAAAAGTCTTTCATCATGGAGTACAGTGTTTTTACATCTGAATTATATCTTTGAATGCTTCCATGTCAAACTGTATCTAAAGTATAATTAACATGGATTTCCTATGAGTGAGATCACTGTTTCTCCCATTAGCATCACCAATTCCAATTAAAAGGTTGTATTTTTTCTCACATTGCTCCTCCATGTCCCTACAAAGGCTATAGCAGATGCTATCACTACCTTTATTTTGTAATTTACAAAAACAATACACTGGGGAGGATAAAGATCTATCTATGGATTTGTGATGGGTTCATGGCAGAGCTGGACCAAAAGCAAATCATTTCCTTGTTCATTATTTTGCCTACTCAAGTCACGACTGCCACTTTCAAATAAAGCCAAACTAACCACTACTGACAACCTTTGGAGAGTTATCCAATGACTTGCCATATGGAGGATACAGAAGGAAGAAGATCACTTTTCTTTCTCAGGATGTAATTTTTTTTTTTAATAGGTGAAGTAGTTTTAAAAAAATGGTTACTACCATTTCATAGCTTCTGCTTTGAAACAGATAAGACCGTAAGAGGCTCCAAAGAGTCTTTAACCAGGAACTGTAACAGAGACAGAAGCATACGGACAGTGTATAGAAGTAAGAAAGTGATTACAAACGGGGACGGTAAAGAACCTTTGGACACCCTTAAGATTTATGGAATATTTTAGCACAAAGACAGGCATATTTAGTTTGTCCCAGAGTATTTGGTCAGCTATCTGCGTTTTGCACAGGAGAGGACAAATGAGAGTAAGGCAAATGTCATCAGTATTTCTTAGATGGCATCTCAAGAAAGCTTTCTTTCTATTAAGATTTACTGAAGGAATTTTGGAATAATTTATGCTTCCATACCACTGACTGAATAGCACAGACTTCTGTTAGTACAATGATGGAAATGAACAGGTGTTTTGACCAAAATTGTAATGCCCTTTCTGTAATTATTCTTTACACCAGCACAAATAGGCATTTTGGAAAGACATGAATAGATTATGGTTTTTTATTAAATGTGTTCTTTTGCAGCCCAGGAAATAGTGTAGAAATCATACGTTCTGTTATACAGAAAACCTTGCATGCAATTGTCACACTGGATGTTAATGAAGACTGACTGTGTGTTCAGTAGCCCTAAGATGGGGGTAGGTAGTCCTTGGCCCAGTCCAGTGCATGGCCTCACATTTCATGTCCTTTCTCTTGGGAAACCAGGAGGACATCTGGGCATTTTTGTCACATTATTATGCACCTTTAGACCTTCAATGTGCAGACTGGGTTTACACAGTTGTCAGGATTGTAAAATGTAAGAAGAGATTAAGGCTGTGTTTACTTATGGCCACACAATCATCTGAAGTCAAGCAGCTCTTTGTGTTCACAATTTCAATAGAATTAATTCCAGTCCAAACGGTCTGAACATAACTCTAGCCATGCTTCCCTGAACCAATGGGATGAGTTATGTTGCTTCTTCCCACACAGCTAATATTAAAACTATCCTTTTACTTCCAGGTGAAGTAACTACCTAAATACAGTTTCTAGAAATTCCCAGTCAAGACTTCATTACCAGATAAACTTCAACAAAAAGACCAAACTCAAAACTAGTTTCACATTTCTGTACATTTTATGAGCAAGCATGTCAATAATTAACATCAGAACTTCAACAGCTTTCCTGTCTTTTAAGAAATAGTTTATCATTTGGGATACAGATGTGTCTCTGTGTGTGTGTGTGTGTGTGTGCGCGCGCGCGCGCGTGCGCGTGTGCATATGTCCGTGTGTTTTCATTGAGCCCACAATGATGTTCAGGTGGATAAATATTTTGTCAATTGTCAGGGGCGTAGCTGTGGCTCCTGGACTCTAGGGCCGAGCACATTCGGTCATAGCAAGAATTGTGTTTCTTGGAGGGCGCAGCTTCACTGGGCTCAGTGGAGTCACTTACTGTGATAGGACTATCTCTTGCAAAGACCTCCGTGGACTCCCTCCATAAACAGTCTACAGACACCTTAAAATTATAACTACTGCACTTTGGCCTGGATGACTGTGTCGCATTGTTGAAAATTTGTCTGCTGTTTGAGGTGGCGATTTTAATTTTCAGTGCAGCATCTACACGGTCCACCACTGTGTATATCCCTATACTCCCATCATCAAAGCCCACAATGATGTTCAGGTGCCTCTGTGAGAGAGCCAGAAAAGTTGGTGTTTTATAAAGGGAACAAGCACCGATATTTTTGCCATCGGCCAGTCTCATGACAATTAAACTAGATGTGACTCCATTTTCATCCTCTTCTCCGTTCCGGAAGCAAATGTACACCAGGTAGCGACCATCTCGAGACAGCCTCTGCCGCCAGATGACCCCAGAGGCATGGACTACCCGTAATTTACCACTGTGTAAGTCCAGCACGTTGATATTTTCATCTCCCCTGGATATAATGCCAAGCTTTCCATTGGGAGAAATTTCAAAATCCTCTAGATTTTTCAAGAAGTTGCTTGGAAGCTGCACACGGCGACAGATGACTTCATCTGTCAGACTCCAGATATTCACTGTCTCAGCCGACGTGATAAACACGATGATGTCAGGACAGTCAGGGATCAGTTTGAAATTCACGATGGTGGTGCCATCTTCACAGCAAAATTTCTTGGTGATGCTTCCTGTCCAAAGGCTGACTGCCAGCACTTTGCTTTTGGTCATTCCCACCACGAAGGTATTTGCAGAGGTGATGAAGGCGTTCTGCAAAGTGGTCAGAATGTTGCAGACCCGGTGGCCGGTGGCCAGTCTCCAAACCCTGGAGGCATTTTCCTCACAGAGAGAGACCACAAACTGGTCGTTGTGTGTGATCAGCAGCTGAGATATTCTCTGCCCATTAATTCGGAAGAGGTTTTCACCGCTGTTGGTGTGCCAGACGTACTGGCTGCTTTTGTCATCTGATGTCACCATTATGTCTCCAGAGGATGTCAGCACACAGTGCTCGACTATCCCTTCATGCTTAAATACCGCTTCGATGAACCCACTGCTGAAGTTCCATTTATGAACGCAATCAGAGCCATCGAGGGAGTAAATGATTTCCCCTCTGGCGGGTAACACCAGACTCTGGATGGGTTTTCCAGTCTTATCTATGTTGGACATGGCTGTGATGATATCGATGTCCCAGATAGAAAGAACACCACTGGTTGATAAAGACAGGAGCATATTGTGGTGACTGGATCTCACCAACTTAACTATGGAACCTGAGATTTCCTGTAAACTTGCCATACATTGTCCTGTGTCCCGTCTCCAAAAAAACACGGCTGAGGTATTTTCCATGGTTGCAATGATGCAGTCTCCATTTTTGGACAGCACGGCAGATATAAAGCGTTCATTGTGCTTAGCTCTGAACTTTTCAGCCACCTTCCACAGCCCAGTGTCCAGGAGCTCGATGCCAAGGGCTTTACAGATCAGAATGGCACTTTGGTCCTCTGAAAGTTCAATGCTGACCACCTCACTGTCTTCTCTGCGGCAGTCGAAGTCATCCGTCAGCTGGGGGCTGGCTATGTCCTCGGTATTCCAAACAGAGAGACTTCCCTCACTGTCTACCATCACCATTTCTTGAGCTGTGTCCAAGATGAGAAGAAACTTCACAAACCCCCCTGAAAATTCGGATGTCACCGTACATATCTTTTCTCCACTCCCCAAGTGGAATATGGTGGTGGTGTTCAGGTACTGGCCACAGAAAGCATACGCGCCATCCAGAGAGCACTGGACACAGGTCACTTCATACCAGCAGTGGAACTGGTAAAGGGGCCAGCCGTACAGCAGGTCAATGACAGTGACGTCTTTGCTGGCTTCCAGCCAGGCCAGGGCGTGGTTGACAGACAGTGTAAACCCATTGATGTAGGTGGAGCTGCTTCCATGCTTGGTTCCTTTGATTTCCACTTCGGATAGGAGACAAGAATTGACATTGTCATAAATCAACAAGGTGTTATTTGTCGTAGCCACTACAAGATACTTTTCGTCACTGCTGAGTTTCATGCCCAGGATGACAGACTGGGCTGTGGTGATTTGCCTGAGTAGTTGACGGGTTTCCACATCCCATGTGCTGATGGAGCCGTTTTCTAAAGCAGTGAGAACAGTACTGGGGTTACAGGTGGGCAGAATCTCAGTGACGTGCAGGTGGCTAGATGACAAGGGAAGGCGCTCCGGGCTGTACGTGACGTCCATGGATGAATGTAATGGCACGATAGAGCAATATTTGGGCCCGTCTTTGTCACATTCTAAAAGAAGATGCCTCAGTTTGGGCAGCGAACTCACAACGGGCAGCAGTCTTTGCTGAAGCTCTGCCGAAAGAGAGCCAGGAAATTCAATGACCTTGTTTTTGATGCTGCGGAGGGTGCTCCCCAGGAACTTCAGCTCCTTCTCTTGCGAGTAGTTGTAAGCCAGCTCGATGTCTGAGATTACCTTGTCGAACTGGCCAATTTTGATCATGGTGTAAAGCCAGCTGAAGTTCATGATGATGCCATAAAGCAGGTCATCAGTTTTCCCACACCTGGTCAGGTGATGCAAGAGCTCAGACATTTTCCGATGATTGACGAAAAAGATATCAGGCTCCAGGGGATTACACTGGAATACCCAGGGCTGGTCTGGAGACTGCCTGTCAAAGGAAGCCTGTTCCATGAAATGCTTTTCTTCATCAAGCAAGCTTCTGTTCTCCAAGTCCAGACAGCCATTCAAGAAGGGGTCTTCAAGACAGAAAGCTTTCCTCCGACCACCCGACCAGACACCCAGAAAATAGTCTGCCAGGATGGTATGCATTTCACGCAGGGCTTTCTCATCCTGCAGATACAGCTTCTGGGCTATAAGATGCAGGTGTCTGTTGGCCCAAACCAGCAGCGTGACATTCTTCACATGTCTTTCTATTAAGTATCCACTGAGCCCCTCCTTGAGCCTTGCCATGTACAAATAAGGTACTCTCAGGGGGTTGCTGGGCCTGGCGTGCTCATGGAGCTCATTCATAACACTGTTGTCTAGGGCTAGCACGTCCTCCAGTTCCATTTCACTTAAGCCCATTTTGGCCATGGTGATGTAACCAAGAGCCCTGGACACCAGTTTCTGACCACACTTCTTCTCCAAGGACCAGAAGAGCTGCTCTATGCTTTCATGAACAGTGACACAGAGGGACGATTCATCCACGTCTTTGTGAGATCGCCAGTGTCTCACCTCCCTGAAGGTCAGGTTCACAAACATCGGTAGTGTGCACTTGGAGAATGCATTGTTTACATAAATCTGCTGGCCCGAGGTGACCTTCCTTTTGACCCGCAGCAGCTGGTGTTTGAGCACCTGGCTGCACATCTTCCTGTCCCGGGGAATCAACTCGATGTAGTTGTCTTCCTCATGGATAAGGCACCTGAGTTTCTGCAGGATTCCATATTTGTTGGGCAGTGTGGAGAGGACTATCCGAACGCAGCGGGGAAGGTGAGCCGGGAGCCACCAGAGCTTCCTGGCCTCATCGTTCTCTGAGAGTTGTTCCAGAGAGTCGAATATTATTACTAGAGGTCTCTGCAATGAAGACTCGTTCAAAAGGTTTATAAATAAGTCACGGAGGTCATGGATCTTCTTAGGGTAGCTCTGAACCAGACACCGGTAGTTAACTGCCAATTGTTCGCATACACTTAGAAGGAGGGTCCTGAGGTCAGTGCTCATGTCTGTGGTCCCTAGAAATCTCACCACGATGACGGGGTCTGATTCTGGCCCTGTGTCTTCCTGTAGCCAGCCATAAGCCTGAAACATAAAGGCTACATTTAGAATGGTAATCAATATTCACATGGTGGGATACAATAACGTTTCCTCTTCCAGAGTTAGGCTCCTGATAACCCTGACCATGTAGATAATGACCTGGAGCTAGGAAATGGAAGACCCCAGTCAAAGAGCTGTCATGAAGTTCACGCATTAAAATCTACAGGTAAGACCCTCAGCATCATCCTACTAAAGGTAATAAAGTTTTGGATACTATTTTTTGACCACCAGGTTGCTTATCCCACGTGACTGTCCCCCCAGGCATGCGAGGGATGTGGCATTGCAGCATTAACTGAGTCAAGTTCAACAACTCTACCCTCCGGCCATCTTGCCCCTTCTTCCTCCCCAAGGATAAAATCCTGAGCATGAGTGTGAAATTGCGCATGCGTTTTCTCATTTGATTTCAGTTCCCATGTGACCCTCACAGTGTTACTATCTTGCAAATTTGCAATAATTCTGTAGTTTGAAAGGTCACTTACAAATTGTTCAGAGACACACACATGTGCACACACTTATGTACACAGACACTTTTCATTTCGATGCAATGTGGCTCCTAAATGTAAGCCTGCTATTTCATCTGGTGCTCAACTAAGGGAAGAGTTGTATCTTCTAACACAAGTAGAAATAGCAGCGGCTGGACTTGGCACATTAAGTAGCGCTAAGCTGGCTTTTCCAAGGACTTACTAAGGGTAAGTTTGATGTGCCTGACTTTTTGACAGTGAGCTTACTTTGGGACTTAATCCCCACATAAGGTGCAACACAGCTTGCACCTATGCTTGTCTTCAGGATGACCAGCATGTGACAGATTAATTGTTCCTGAAGTTGAAGAAAGCTGTTAGTAAGACAATAATCAAAAGAAGAATAACACAGAGATTCTGCGGTAACACTGGCTAATATAGCCATTATACTTTGATATCAAGTATGACAGGAGATTAAATGTGGAACTAGTTTAGTTCAACTTAGACAGAGGTGTGAGGACAAAGGACCTAACAGGACAGAGTGAGTTTCCATCATGCAGAAGACAATCATGCAGGAATTGAAAGGAAGTTGTGAAAACCAGTTTTGCTACTTTTAGTGGACAACCCACCTTTTTCCTAGTAAAGAGATTCCAGAGACCAAGAAAAAAGTTGGAGATTAGGGTATGTGTCTGTCACCACCCTGCTCCCCAATGGCAGGGCTGAAAGATACCTTCCCCTCACTGCTAGCCCAGGGAAAGGATGACAATGGAGCACTTACAAGGTGTCCCTAAGGGCTCAGGGCACAAGGCCATCTGGTGTCTGGTGACATCTGAGAAATATGGAAGTAGAGTGAGGCTGGTTACTTCTCTGATGGAGGAGTGATGAAGACCTATATTCCAGAACTGGTTAAAACAGCATGCCTAGAGTTTCTCATGGAAAATACCCCCCCCCCCGCCCCCTTGTAATCCTCCGCCCAAACCTGAGTGTATTCTGTGTACCAGAGGCAGAAAGCAGACAAGAGTGAGCTGACAAGGGTCTTTGTATTGTTTCCCCAGGTCCTGTCTGGGAGTTTGCAAGGCTGTGAAGAGGATTTTGGCAGAAAGATCCTAGCAGTGTGTTGCAGGATGTCTAGGAGCTAAGGATGTGCCAGCTAGAAAAGAGATGCGCCCCTGTGTCTAGGGAACTGTAGCAGAGAGGAGCTCATCAAGGACAGGCAGGATGCAAGAGGAAAAGGACCTTTAGGAAACCATGAAAAGGTCTCAGAAGAGACAGGAGGCAACTTAAAATACCTGCCCAAGGCTGCAGAGTGCAGATCCCAGCTCAGAACAGTACTGATCATGTCAGAACTTTCTGGCCATCTCATCTTCCTACATCCCTTAAACGGCAACTCTGCAGGGGTCATGCATGTGGTTGGGGATGGGGGTGGCGGGAAGAAGAGCAATGTGAAATGAAGAAAAAAAAGGAGAAGATGTGGCCATCCTTATTTCCCACGGTAGTGCCTTGCTTACGGTAGCTCCCGTCTGGGGGAAAGAAATGTGGGGGCCTCCCCGGTGGCGCAGCGGTTGAGCGCTGGGTTGCGAACCTGCCCGCGGCCTCTGCGGCACCGGTTCGATCCCCGGCTGCTCCCCAGCCACCGGAGGAGGGTCCCACATGGCGCGCAGACCTCTCCTGCCGCCCGCTGCTCCCCTCAGCAGTGTACTTCGGTCCTTCTGCCTGCTCTGTGTTCTCCGCTCTGGCTCTGGTGAATTCTCTCACCCTCCCGCGCTTCTGACTGTACCCAGTGCATGTATAAACAAAAACAAAGAAAGAAAGAAAGAAAGAAAACATGCCTCTATATATAAAAAAAAAAAAAAAAAAAAAAAAAAGAAATGTGGACTGAAGTTTAATTGTCATCTTTAGACTCAACACCTTCATTGTGGAAATGAGACTGATTTAGTGTCCAGAAGTGGTTGGAGGGTCTGTCTTTGCTAAGAAGGGTAAGTTGTGAGATCTTCACTAGCTTCCATCCAAATGGGAACTAGGGGGCCTCCCTGGTGGTGCAAGGAGTTAAGCACAGCACTGTGAAGCTGTTCGCAGCCTCTGCAGCACAAGTTTGACCCACATGGTGCAGCAGACCTCTCCTGTCTAGCCCACTGCTCCCCTCAGCAGTGTATTTCAGTAGATCTGCCTGTTCTGTTCCCCACTGTGTCTCTAGTGACTCCTCTCACCCCCCACACCTGTGGCCTGTACCCCAGTTCTTGTATGCATAAATAAATAAATCTTTAAAAAAGGGAACTAGTTCCACAACATGACTTTGAACAGAGAAAATTAAGTCCTTCTATAACTGCACCCCATGTGTCTTATTCTTTCAATATCACTGTTGTCTCAGCCAAAGGGAAACACTAAAATATCCATTCCAAAAAGTCTAATTATAATTCAAAGAGTAAACACAGAAAATGGAAATGAATTTGATCAACTTATCTTTTCCCTAAAGTAAAAGTTTTTACAAATACATGTAAGAAAAAGAAAAGACTGTTACCTTCTTTGCTACTTCAGCAAGCAAAAGGGTCTTCCCAGTGCATGGTCCACCATATATAACAAGAGGGTTGATGTGTCCAGTTTTGCTCGGAAGAATGTATTTATGCACTATGTTTAGAGATTCGCATTTGTACTCATAGAAGGAAGCATATGTTTTACATAATGACGAATGCTGAAGGATCTCGTCGTAGAGTGTATCAGTTTCAGTGTCAAAATTCTGCTGTACTGTTGCCTGAATTATATCAATCATGTCCTCATAAAACTGTTTACCGAGTCCTTCTATGTAATGATTTTCTATTTCTTGGGAATAGCCCAATTTCATGTCACAATGAGTAACTGATGTGTATACTCTCAGATTAGATGAAGCAACAATAGTAGGAATAAATTCATCCCTGAGTTTTATCAGCTTCTCTTGGGCTTCTGGGTCCCGAATAATCCTCGGTTCTGTTCCGGTTATATCCATGTATTTTCCCATCTCTGGGATTTTCACAAATCGCTCAATGTTAGCAATTTTCCGAATGTAGCACACACACTTCTTTAGGAATGCTGGAGTCTGTTTTCCTAGAGCGAAGTCAAACTCATCCTCTATAGCTGAAAGAAGACACGACAAAAAGGTTTACTACCTAGAACAAAGAAGCAATGTACCCACACTCCCAGGCCTTCACGCTCAGTTACTTGTGGTAGATTGTTTTGCTGATAGTATGTAAAAAGTTGTCCATAGAATAATTTCTTAGCTTCTTCATTTCCTCTTTGTATTTTCCTAAGCAACCTTGAACCCAGAACAATGAGTTTTAAGTAAATTACCTCATTTCCTCCCCACTCAGACCCCAGAGGCTGAGCATAAGCATAATAAAGAAAGCAGGGGGCCTCCCCGGTGGCGCAGCGGTAGAGCGCTGGGTTGCGAAGCTGCCTGCAGCCTCTGCGGCGCCGGTTCGATTCCCGGCTGCTCCCCGGCCACCGGAGGAGGGTCCCACATGGTGCGCAGACCTCTCCTGCCACCCGCTGCTCCCCTCAGCAGTGTACTTCGGTCTTTCTGCCTGTTCTGCTCCCCGCTCTGGCTCTGGTGAATTCTCTCACCCTCCCGCGCTTCTGACTGTACCCAGTGCATGTATAAACAAAAACAAATGAACAAAAAAAAAAAAACAAATAAATAAATAAATAAAAAAACATGCCTCTAAAAAAAAAAAAAAAAAAAAAAAAAACTTGCAAAAAAAAAAAAAAAAAAAAAAGAAAGCAGGGCCTCCCTGATGGCACAAGGGTTTAAGTTGTAGTGCTATGAAGCTATCCGCAGTCACTGCAGCAGGAGTTGATCTCCGGGCCAGGGAGCTAACCCACATGGCACAGCAGACCTCTCCTGTCTCGCCCGCTGCTCCCCTCAGCAGTGTATTTCAGTCAGTCTGCCTGTTCTGTTCCCCACTCTGTCTCTGGTGAATCCTCTCACCCTCCCCTCCCCACTCCTCTGGCCTGCACCCCAGCTCTTGTATGCATAAATAAAAAATAAAAATAAATCTTTTAAAAAAGAAGCAAGCAAACTGAGTTTACAATGATTCTATAAGTGTCTGCTTAGATTCCCTGTGAGACTCCAATAGTTCTGAGAGTGACAGTGAGTGATGAGCAGGCCCAGTCAGGGCCAGGAGAGAATGAGGAGGGAGAAGGAGACATCTACTTTGTTTTTTCCTTGTCAGTCCTTTACCATGTGACTCCTTTACCATGGGACTTCCAATACATGGAAATGCAAATATAAAATCATTTTTAAAATAAAACATACTCATGGTGAGATTATTGAGCAATCTGAGTTATCCATTCACTGTTAAATTCCATTCTACCATAAGAACAGACACAGAAAAATTACTTAGTAACTTGATGTCTTCAAAGATAAGCTGGAATATGGCTTACGATACATATGCTGATACACAAGAAGACATGTACATGAATTGAGGCTCTGTAAGAACATGTATGACTGGATCAACAGTTAAAAAATATGGCTGGTACATGATTTTAGGGAAGAAAAATAAAAATAAAGAACATCTGGTGAATTCTCTCACCCTCCCGCGCTTCTGACTGTACCCAGTGCTTGTATAAACAAAACAAACAAACAAACCAGCAAACAAATAAATAAAGCATGCCTCTAAAAAAAAAAAAAAAAAAAAAAAAGAAAAAGAAAAATAAAGAACAAAGCAATTTTTAGGGCAAGCAGTCTTTTGAAAGTGATTGTTCCACATATTTTTCTTCCCTACCTGTGGTCCTTCATTTAGTTATTAAAAATGTTAAAAAAATATTTGATTACTTTTACCCTGAAATGTTTGCCCCTGGAAACTATAACTGACATACTCCTTCAAGGTATATGGCTTTTTCTGCAACTTCTAAAATAAAGCCTTCTTTCTAGAGTTGAGAAAGGGCAGCAAAAAAGTCTCTGCCACTAGCTGGGGTGATTTTTATTTTCAGGTTAAATTAGATCCTACCAGCATCAACAAATGTTGGCGAGGATGTGGAGAAAAAGGAACTCTCCTGCACTGCTGGTGGGAGTGCAAACTGGTCCAACCACTATGGAGAGCTGTGTGGAGATTTCTGGACCTACTAAACATAGAGCTTCCATAGGATCCAGCAATTCCACTCCTAGGAATTTACCCAAAGGACACAGAAACATAAATTCCAAAGAACACCTGCACCCCTGTTTATAGCAGCACTGTTTACAATAGCTAAGCTTTGGAAACAGCCCAAATGCCCAAAAATAGATGACTGGATCAAGAAGATGTGGTACATATATACCATGGAATATTACTCAGCATTCAAAAAAGATAAACACATGCAGTTTGCAGCAACATGGATGGCGCTGGAAGGGATCATGCTCAGCGAAATAAGCCAGAAAGAAAAAGAAAAATACCGGATGGTCTCACTCATAGCAGGAATCTAGAAAACTTAAATAAGGGACCAGGAAAATGAATTAACTATAAGAAAGTGAAAATCAAAATCAACAAACACCTATGAACCAGAGACACTCTATGGGTGGTGGTGGTGGGGGAGGAGAGGGATTGGGGTCAAAATAAGGGGATTGCAATTGTATGGGGAATATAAAAATAAAATTTATTTTAAAAAATAAATTAGATCCTACCACTCCCTTTATTTTTATTTGAAAATTCCAACGGCTTCCCATCTTACCCGGAATAAGACATAAGGTTGCTATGGGTCTGTGTCTGCCTTCGGACCTCAGCTCTCCCCCCGTGGGGCTGGCTACCTTCTTCCTGTTCCCCGGGATAGGCACAGAGCAGGTGCTCCGTACATTTTTGTGGAGTAAGTGAGTAGATGTGTGAATAAACAGCTAAGCTGAGAAACACTGACAGAGTCTGGTTTACCATATCCAGCCTTCTATGACTCTTAAATTACACTTTCTGGAGAAGTCCTCAAGTTAAGTAAAGGCTTCTCTATGAGCTAAGAACAAAAAAAAAAAAACCTGCCTCTTTAGGAGACGGAAACATTTAGAAAAATGCCATTTTACCAGGCAGTAAATGAAATTAAATTTGCAAAAACTGTAAAAGGGAAGCAGCAAATGTACCCTTCATTTACCTACTCCTTAGAGTACTGAGGGTGAGTGAAGTATTACCTGAGAACAGGTACCTCTTAGCTTGACTGTGTTTCATTTTCCCCTTTTCATGTAACAGTTTTACAGAAGCCTTAAAAATCTTCTTGATCTCATCTGATATCTCTTGCCAGTTCTTTTCATTCTCAGCATTGGCAGAAGACTGCATCTATGGAAATGTAAAAGTGAGATATTAGTATATTTTTAAAGATTTATTTTTATTTGTGCATATAAGAACTGTGGTGTAGGCCAGAGGTATGGGGGTGGTGAGAGAATTCACAAGAGACAGAGTATGGAGCACAACAGGTGGATCTAGTGAAATACACTGCTGAGGGGAGCAGTGGGTGAGATAGGAGAAGTCTGCTGTGCCATATGTGGGTTAGCTCCCTGGCCTGGTATTGAACTCAGGTTATTGCACTGATAGCATGATAGCTCCCTAGGTCAAGATCCTAGTCTTAAAATCATCAAAGAAGTTCAACCTTTAAGAGCAAGAAAACTATGATTATTTGAAGGTCTACTATGTGCCAGTGCTATAAGTGCTTAATAGAGCAGTGTTTTATTTAACCTTATAACCCTGAAAGTTAGAAATTATATCCATGTTATACATGAACTTGACCAAGTTATACAAGGGTGTGAATCAAGCAGGATTTGTGTGTTGGGCTTTCTTATATTTCTTTTATTCCTGGCATTTCACTCAAGTGATATAAATGTAAGAAAATCATGTCTTCATTATCTTCTAAAGAGGAGAGAAAGTTAAAGGCAGGGAGGCCTGCCTACCAAGGAAGTAATATTTATAGAAGCTTGAGGATAATCTTTTTCATACACTCATTTAACAACACATGCAGAATAATTTAAATTTCCCTAGAGGATAATAGAAACAAATTTGCTTAGAGGATCATAGGGAGGAACAATTAAAGTCAATTAAATAGTAATACAGAGCAAGTGCTCCCAAGATACTTGGTTTCTTAAATTGTGATGTTAAGAAAATTTTTTTATTGAAACAAGATCATGTTTTTTGATATCTATGTTTACCAGTTACTACATTTACTACCTGCATATATAACTGGGAGTGATTTGGGGGTACTCCAAATGCCTCTTTTTTGAAGCAATATTTTTGCAGATGATTACTTTAAATAATGTATATGGTAGGGGAGAAAAATCAAGGATTCTACTATAATTTCATGGTACATGCAGAAAATATTTTTTAAATTTAATTTTATTATTATTTTTTAAAATATTTATTTATTTATTTATACATGAACCGGGGTACAGGCCAGATGCGCGGGAGAAGATTCACCACAGAGCGGGAAACAGAACAGGCAGACTAGTGAAATACACTGCTGAGGGGAGCAGCAGGCGAGACAAGAGAGGTCTGCTGTGCCATGTGGGATTCTCGCCGGCCGGTTGGCCGGGATCGAACCGGCGCTGCAGATGCTGTGGACAGCTTCACAGTGCATTGCTCAACCGCCTGCGCCACCAGGGGAGGACCGCAGAAATACTTTATGCTAAATATCAGAATGATAACTATACCAGGTCCTTAACTAGAAGAAGTATCTTGACCCTGAGCTCGCCTCCTCTTGCTGCCTGTGTACTGAATGTATCATGGATGTTCTCATTGGAAGAGGGTGGCATCTAAACCTCCGTTTCCATTTCTCTAAACATTCTACTCAATGAATAGCGCCCCCCATTTTCTCTTCCTGTTTCATTTAATTTCAGGGGACACTCAGATACATTTGGGGACCAATGTAAGGAGGAGACAACAATGTTTCCATAACACTTATGCATGAATCCACCTCACTTCAAGATTCTACATAAGACACTGAATTCAGATGAATTATGTGAAATTTTAGAGGAAAAAATTAAAAAAGAGTGAGACTAAAAAAATGGCATGTTTTTAAAAGCTTTCAAAAATAACAAAGGACCGTTGAACTTGAAAACTCAATGCCTAGACAGGGTGGACATGGCTGAAGACAAAAATGGTGAAATGGAAAATATCTGAAGTGTTCTGGAAATAAGTACAGAGATAAGGAAATTGTTCATGTGAATCAGAGTTAAGAGGTATAGAAGATAGAGATGTCACATGTAAGTCTAAATAAAGAGCAAAAAGGAAAGAACAGAAGGGATAGAGGTGAGCTTATCTGATGAGAGGATCGCTGGGAATGTTCCAGAACTGGTAAAATACATGAATTCACAAACATAGGAGCATAATATATAACCATCATTTGCAGATAAGCAAACACTAAGTTTAGTAGACTACAGTTTATGGAACTTATTGAAAATATACTTCAGGAAGGAGGAGCAAATAACCCAGATGGAAAGAGTCTGAGTTGCCAAGAAAAAGAAAAGGTGAATCAAAAATGGAAGGTATTTTAGCTTTAGATTTAGTTTTTAAAAATAAATGTAGAGCTCAGAGCTTAGTAACTTGCTGTGCCTTCTTTTTGTGGACAAAATCACTCTGGGATGCCAGAAGTAGTTTACACTTGATCTTCACTTGCTCTTTGTCAGAAATAGTTTAAAGTGATCTTTGCAAGTAGTAGTTTAAAATAGTGGACAGATAGGTACTTTGGAGAGAGAAGTAACTTACTGCATTTTTATTGCTTTTCAGCAGTTCTGACTTGGGTCTGAGGTAATAAGCTGCTGGCACCGAGTTCTCATCTCGACAGTACCACTCTTCCAGTAATTTGGTCTCCAGCTTTGCCTCGATGGCAGCATCCAAAATCATTTCAAACTCCGAGGCTTCAACTTCTCCAGGGATTCGGATGTTTCCGTATTTTTCACCTAACAGTCCCTGTGTATCAATAAGAAGGCTCAGTTTAGTGTATCATCAAGAAAGTGCAGCTTAATTGTCATATCACGTGGCTTCTCACTAAATATGAATGACAGACAGAATGTTCCATGCATTTTCTCTTTTAATCACAGCAAGTACTTTTTCTGCCATGAATTATCTCATAAGTAAAATTAGATCAGTTATATTGTAATTATAATAAATTCATCTATTGAGAATTGAGTTTACATAGCAGAGAAATTTAAATTACAAAATTTTGCAGCAAATTTATTTTGCAAAGTTTACATGATACAACAAAAGTTGCTCTACTAAGATTTTTTGTTCATTTATGACAAAGAAAAATAACACACAGGGCCCTGTGACATAGCAATCATGTAAACTTTCAATTAGAAAAAAATGTTTTGTAAAGTGCTTATAGCATGATTCTAAGTCCTGGATTTACACAGCTACAAATGAAACAAGTTTGAAATCACTGTACAGCTGCTATTAACTGTAACAATTAGTAATATAAGCAAGATATCATTTTATCCCTAAAACTTGGCAAAGAAAGACATGTGCTCATTGTTAAATGAAGGTGTTAGAAAATATCTAAATAGTGCTGATGAATGTGTAATTGATCCAATATTTCTTTCAAGGATATTCTGGCAATCTGTATTAAAGTCCTTAAAATATAATTTTTGACCTGGCAATTTTTCTTCTTTAATAGGAAAGAGTTGACAAGGCAACATAAATCTTTAGCAAATGGGAACAGTTATATATACAATTTAATATAATAAATATAATATATAAAATGGCATCTCTATTTAAAGGATGTACCAAGTATGTTCCAGAACTGTATTGACAAAGAAAGGTGTTTATAATATACTATTAGGTGAGAAGGTAACTTACAGCAGCATGTGTAAAATAATTCTGATGTGTTATATATCAACATCACTATATATCAGAACATATTTATGAGAGAGATGTCTATGTATATATGCATAAGAAAGATGTCCTAAGAATATACAGCAAGGTTATCAATGGCTATCTTTGTGTGGGAGCTCTAAATTTACTTTGTTTTTATGGCTTTTTTATTAAAAACCCTTTCTCCAACACATTTGTACTACTTTGTAGTGAGAACAATGACAGAGGAGACTCTTTGTAAGGGCAGCCAGTCTGGTGATTCACCCATTCCTCTTGGCTAGTTCTGAGTAAGGATGGTCAGCATGCTCAGTCAGGATCATCTACTGTAGGGAATCCCAGTCTTAGGGCTGGGATGAGGCATTCAGCAAACCCACATGTGCAAGGAAAGAAAGAGGACTTCTAAGCAGTAGCCACTGGGGAATTAAAAAAAAAAAAAGGTAGTAGAATCTAGACAAGGCTAGAGGATGTGGTGGGCAGGGAGCTATTTTTTTTTTTTTAAAGATTTATTTATTTATTTATACAAGCACTGGGTACAGTCAGAAGCGCGGGAGGGTGAGAGAATTCACCAGAGCCAGAGCGGGGAGCAGAGCAGGCAGAAGGACCGAAGTACACTGCTGAGGGGAGCAGCAGGCGGCAGGAGAGGTCTGCGCGCCATGTGGGACCCTCCTCCGGTGGCCGGGGAGCAGCCGGGGATCGAACCGGCGCCGCAGAGGCTGCGGGCAGCTTTGCAACCCAGCGCTCAACCGCTCTGCCACTGGGGAGGCCCAGGGAGCTATTTTTTAATATGAGATTTAGTATTCAAAGTTCTCTAGCAATGAAGCTCAGGGATGTTTTGGCACAGCTACTAAGCTCCACACCAAGACTGGCTAGTTTTGGGGCATGAAGCAGAGTGGAAGGGAGGTAGGAGGGAGAGTATCATGATTAGTGAAACAAGATCATGTCCTAGATGTCTCAAGATGATCCTCCTCATCACACACTAGCGATTAACTGTTGGTTCTTTATCTTCTTTCTGCTTTAAATCAGGCTGGACCCTCAGTTTAGGGTAAGGTCAACTCTATGGATCACATTCTAAAATGTGCTCCCTGGATTATCTTTATACACATCCCCAGGGTGCTTGTTAAAATGCAGGTTCCAAGTTCCCTTCTCAAACCAAAAGAACACTGTGGTTGAGGGGCCCAGGAATCTGCATTTTAAAACAAGGTTATAAAATAAACCTGGAATTTAAGGACCACTACTATAGGCAGTACATATGGGGTCTCATGAGTAATGGTTATGAAGCACCGAAGAGGCAGAATGGGAAACACAGTTCATTACAAAAATCGAAGGCTATTTAAAGATAATTATTTATTAGAGTTGAACAGCTGGCATCAAATACTATAATTATGCAATCAATGCAGTAAGGTAAAATGTTCCTCAGAGTAGAGATTATTAAAGAAGAAAAAAATATCCTGATCCAATTCAAATAAATATATATCGAGCGCCTATTATATATAAAGTGGTAATATGAAATTTCAGAAAAGTAATAATGCATTATAGGCTTAAAGTTACTTATTGGATTGTTCTCCCCAAATCTTTTCCTTCTATTGATTCTTCCCTTGAGTGGAAAGCTCATAAATCATGAAGCAGTTACTTTTCATGAATCCAAGACAGAGTCTTGGCTCAGTCTTATCTTGCTATTTGAGAAATAGCAAAAAAGGAAATAGCGAAAGAGAAGTTTGTTACCACATTTTTTATTTTTTTAAGAAAATTTTTTTTTTCAAAGATTTATTTATTTATTTATACAAGCACTGGGTACAGTCAGAAGCGCGGGAGGGTGAGAAAATTCATCAGAGCCAGAGCAGGGAGCAGAGCAGGCAGAAGGACCGAAGTACACTGCTGAGGGGAGCAGCGGGCGGCAGGAGAGGTCTGCGCACCATGTGGGACCCTCCTCCGGTGGCTGGGGAGCAGCCGGGGATCGAACCGGCGCTGCAGAAGCTGCTGGCAGCTTTGCAACCCAGCGCTCAACCACTGTGCCACCGGGGAGTCCCTGTTACCACATTTTTTAAAAAAAGATTTATTTATTCATGCATACAAGAACCAGTGTACAGGCCAGATGTGCGAGAAGGTGAGAGGATTCACCAGAGACAGAGTGGGGAGCAGAACAGGCAGACTGACTGAAATACACTGCTGAGGGGAGCAGCAGGCCAGGCAGGGGAAGACTGCCATGCCATGTGGGTATCTCTCTGGCTGGCTGGGATTGAACCTGTGCTTCAGAGGCTGCAGACAGCTTCACAGCGCTGCGCTCAACCGCCTGCACCACCAGGGAGGCCCTGCTACCACATTTTTCAGGAGACTTGATGTGGTTCTATGTGGTTGTAGTTCTGAGGTAACAAAGTATGTTTTCATCTACCAGGGCCAGAGAGAGTCAATTTAGAGAGTCAGTCCAACTCAGCTGCAGAGTCCAGTTTGTGTGGTCAATGAACCAGAGCAGGGTAGAGATACAGAACCAAGTCTAAGGGGCTGGCCGTGAGTGGAGGAGTGGCAAGCCATGATACACTGTGGGTTCTCAATCAGACTGTAACCATCAGTGACCCCAGGGCAGCTACAGAAATTGTGAACGAGAAGGCATTCTTCTCTGTGAAATTGTAGCAGGATATTTACTCCTGCCAGTGGAGGAGAAATATTTTCCACGCCAGTGCTCAAGAAGTTGATTTTTTGCTTAGTTAAATCCACATTCCCAGTGTGTAGAAGAAATCCAGTGGAGAGTTGAGGAACTACGTTTGGATTTTGTATTACAGTCCATGTGTATTATTTACGCCATTGATTAATCTCTGTGTAACCCTTCTGGAAGCAATGCATATGTCTGAACTAAGTTCTAACTTTTTACTGAGATGTTTAAACACTCTGTTAATATACACATGAACATACGGGATTTCAACCATCTGCAGAAATCCATAATTACCTTTTCCACCCACCTAATCAAAAGTGAAAATATTTAAATTGACCCTAGGCAGGAAGCAACAAACCATCAAGTGCCTAAACACAATCTGGGGCTTAAGTCTAAATGGCTGGAAAATCTAAGAAAATGTTTTAATAACTTAACTGTTGTTTCTGCATGTAAAATTCCAGCATAGAAAGAAATACTTCAAGATGCTTTGGATTAGATAGAGCCCTGTGGCAAAGCACTGTAAATCTATTAAATGACACTGAATTATTCGCTGGAAAATGGTTCATTTTTATGTTTTATGGATTTCGCCTCAAATTTTTTTAAAGAAAAAGTGAACTACTGAGTGAACTGGGAACTTCAACACATAAAAGGACTCTTCCTGCCCCACCCCCCAAAAAAAAATGACTTCCTTTTCCTCTTTATATGTGACAATTTCTCTATATGCCATTGCTTTGAAGGGCTCAGAAATAACATTTTCATCCTCAACTGAATTTTCTCTGCCATGGTAAACCCTGACTCCCTGTCTTTCTCCTTGCTCTTTGTGAGCAGTTAGTTCTGCCTAGATTTGCAACTGAAAATGTTTGGGATCTGTGCTTGAAGGTTTGTAGTTTTTATTGTAGCAAACAGAACAGGGCTCCTTTGAGGTAGCCCTGAAGGTATAGGTGAGCTCTTTATGCAATTCTAGCCACCTCTGCCTGCTGATATGTACATTTTGACTCCTGTGAGAAGCTTGGGACCCACTATCTGCCATCTATTCCTTCCAGTTTTTCAATTCCACTGTACATGTTAAGCAGTGTCAGAATTAACTTCCTCCCCTGTGGGAAATAATTTTATTGACAAGAGTATGGTCCTGAAGGGCAGCTCCTTTTGTCCTTAGTATTACAAGTCCATTCATTGCCAACAGATATTTTTTAAATAAAAGGAACATTGCAGATGAAGCTGAATTCCCTTTGATGTGCAAAGACAGGCTGATTCCCCACTTCTTTTCAAGATGTGCATATTATAAATTTGTCATATACTCTTTTGGTCTCTTTATATTTTATATATACAAATACACATATGTGGGCTATTAAACATTTTATATACATCCTATGTGGGACATATTCTATACCTTTTTTCATTTTGTTTTTTGTGATGGCTCTTAATAAATTTAGATGCCATTCACTACCTTGAC